GGACGGATCGGGGAATGGTGGTCAGATTATGGGAGGCACCCCCGGTTCGGTGGACTTCTTGCCAGACAGCCGTCGTCTTCCGCTGCAGGCTGTCTATGGTAGAGCCTACATGCGGGATAGTTGGCCTGCCTACGTTGGGACAAAGGAGCTCCGACGTATGGGTCCTGCCGATCTCCTCTGCCTGCCGCAGCGTCTCCTCGGGATGCCACTACTGCACATTGCATCCCGGCACTCTGAGGCAAGGCGACACCAGGATGCCAACAGCCAATCGACTGAATCGGCTCTCCTCGCCTGTTCGGGCTGCTGTTCAACCCTCTGGCCCGTCAGGTCTGACGCGGATCAGAAGGCTGGCTGGCAGCTGCCACACAAGCTGCATGCTGATTTCTTTCAGTCCTCTGTCGAAAACTTTATTCTTAAATCTATTCACTAAAATAAAATGATTCACTGCAAAGTGTCAAAGTATCTCGGAGATTGGGGATATCCTGTTTCGTAGCCGTACATGTCGGAGGTTAGGGTTAGGGACTGCGATTAGGTATCAGGGTTGTGGTTTGGAGTTGGGGTTAGGGTGCTCGGATCACACATGCACCAGAGGCGCCGAAAAACACTTGACGCTCACGAGGTGACATGTGCCAATCACGTGCCAGCGTTGTGTGGTGTCGAGTGTGGTCATGTTTAGAGTAGATGCTGGTGAGGAGAGATGTGGTAGTATGGTATGGACGGCGGTGCCTTCTGAGTTGGGCGCAAGAAATTTCGTGCGCCTGGCGGGATACAACTGAATACTAATAATAATAATAATAATAATAATAATGGCTAGGAGTTGGAGCATGCATTTTTGATAGTGGGCATTGTCAGCTAACCGCGCAATGGAATGGTTGTACCCAGAGGTACGTTCATGGAAATGAAGGAGGTATTGATTGCTGTGGATACAGAGGATTGAGACACAGCAGTTCTGACTATGACGGGGGGCCGCAGAAGCGGATTGGAAGGCAGTGACGAGAATGGTTTCAGCGAGGCGAGGCCCAACCTTTGGATGTGCGCCGAGGTGCGTGCGTTCGTGCACACATTACCTTTGTCCGCCTACAATCCCGACCAGCAAATGACACAACGCCGATTAGCCTCAAGCTGTCTCCACCACGTGGCCATGTCACGTGCATTGCAACTGGCAGGAGGTTTTAGTTATGCTGACAGAAGGCGTCATGAGAGAACAACCAGACTGGCGACCAGGAGAACGGAGCCCGGTGGTTAAACTTCCCGGCATGGCTGGCGTAAACGGTCCAGGTCTCCGTTCCGTACAGAAGTGCTGATCAAAGCCTTCCGCCTTGGAAAACGAGCAGATAATCCATCAATGTCCACTCGTCCCCGGCCTCTTAAAGTTGTGCTGACCAGCAGCGACCAAACCAGTCTCATTTACTCCAGGCGATTCAGGATTAAAGGCTCCAACCCAGGTGTTTTTTTTCAACCGGACTACTCGCCAGCCGAACGGCTCAAACGTCGTCAGCTAGTTCTATAATTAAGAAAGAGGCTCAACGAAGGGGAGAACAATTTAGTAATATACAACAACCAAGTACGGCGGCGTCCGTCACTCTTCCTTTGGACAGGTCCTGTCCGAATGACCGCGCAGCCGACATATTAAGTGAAGGCGCTAACCCAAATGTAACCACATCTTCCGTCAGCCGGAAATTGAAATTCTTGTACACCAACGTGCAGAGTTTGCTATCAAAGTTCGACGAGCTGAAGATCCACCTCTGCGACCTATCCCCTGACGTAATCTCTCTAACAGAAACCTGGTTGACCCAACACGTGGACGACCGTGAGCTGGCCTTGCCTGGCTACCAGATGTTTAGAAGGGATAGGGAAGGGCGTCAGGGAGGAGGCGTACTCACGTATGTAAAAAATCGGCTAAATGTGTCAGACAAGACCGATAACTTTTCGTGCAGTTCCGAGGCAATCTGGTTGTCTGTTAAAGTGCCGAGCTCGCCTAACCTCGATGTCCTGACAGTTTATCGACCGCCGAGACGGGACAACATGGCCGACGCTCGCCTGCTGGAGGAGCTCGAAAAGTTCGCTACGCGGCCGGATATCCTAATCATGGGCGACTTTAACGCGCCCCATATTGACTGGAGCTCAACCCATGCAAATAGCTCAGAACAGACCTTCGATAGGAGTTTTCTGAACACGGCACTGAAGCTATTTCTCACTCAACACGTCATGTTACCAACTAGAGTACGCGAAGGCCAACAAGCCAACTGCCTTGATCTTGTCCTTACGAAGTCACAGGACAGCATTGATGAGGTGTCATGCCTACTCCCCCTTAGGTAAAAGTGACCACGTCGTTCTTCTATGGGAGTACTCGCCTTTTTCCATGCCCAAGAAACCCGCGACAGTTATAAGAAACCTTTGGCTCGGGGATTTCGACCAAATGAGGGCTGAAATTTCACGCATTGAGTGGGAGTCCATATTTGTTGGGAGCATACTCGAAGACTGGCAACGGTTCCGAGAAATTCTGCACGAGCTGATCGTAAACTACTGTGCGCTTTCACGGAAGAGGTTAACTAACAGACTTCGATGGCTTACGCAAGCCTTGAAGAATGAAGTCAATAAAAAACGACGGCTGTGGAAAAAATCGCTTTCTGACAGGAGCCCCACATCTATATGCGCGTACAAAATTCAAAGAAATCGAGTCAAGGGTCTTATCCTCAAAACCAGAAAGGAATTCGAACGGGATCTGCTTAACCGTGAAGCGGAGAACCCTAAATTATTCTACGGTTACATTAGGCAGTGCACGCGGAACAAGGATACAATAGCCCTGCTAAGGACTGCTGAAGGCGAACATCACACTGACGACAGAGCGAAAGCTGATCACATTTCAGAATTTTTTCGGTCTGTTTTTAGTAGCGAAACAGGATTCAACTCTTCGGCCCCTCAATCCTTCGAAGACACCCCAATTATATAGACCGTCCAGTTCACTGAGGGTATGGTGGATACTGCCGGCATAATCGCCCTGAGCACTGGAGCAGGGGACCCGAGGTCTTTCGAACAGAGTGGACCTCCCTTGCTGTTCACGCTACCTGCGTGATGCTTGTTGTATGATAGACAGGACTGGTATACTGGCTGTTAGAAAGTGCTACGCAAAGGGCTTGGAACTCTACCCCGACACCTTTGCATACACTTATAGATTGGGACGAGATAAGTGAAGTGGAAGTTAATTTTCCTGATACATTGAACGAGATCCCCAGATGCAAGAGATTACGTAGGTTGATGGTGATGCATATTCGGGGAGGGGGTGGGTGGAGGAGCGGGTCATGATTGCAGTCAGTACATACTGCACGCTAGGCTGACTTTCCATCGACTATCTTCTGGTAATGCACTACCGTGGATCTGCGGGTCTACATGCTTCGGGGTCCAGCCACTGCACCACCGTACCCGATACCCCATTGGTTCATGTGGAGAGCTTTGAACACTTCCCGTGATCCTCCTCATGCGAACATGCGCGCACCAACTACTAGAACTGCCTATTTCATCACGTGCATGGCGGAATAGAGACTGCATGTTTGTAGGTACAATTTCGTGGGACAATAAAGCGTTCCAGAGGTCGTATGCTACTGCTGATGCCGCTGTGCTGCCTGAGTGTATGTGAACGTGTCTGGCTGGATTGACGACGTCCGTCCTGTGGCCAACGATTTTGCAGACTGTCGTTGCGACCCTCATTTT